GGGGAAATTAGGTCCAATACTTCAAAAAGTAACCCAATTTGATTTATACCCTAAGTTAATTAAACATCAAATAAACTCAGTATTAATTACTTCCTAAACTGAAACAAAAATCCAAATCTCCCAATTAACTACAGACCACAAACGGACGAAGGCAGTGAACGGTTTTAATTGGTGTTGCGAACGGACGAAGGCAGTGCACGACCATTCTATCGTATCTTTGAGCCATTGATAAAGCGCCGCCTTCCTTCCGTCGACACCATCGGAGGGCAGTAGAAGCAGCATCACAAACGATTGATTATTGGCAGAAGGAGTGAACCGTCTGAACTGGTGATTGGTGAAGTAGAAGAAGAAGAAGTCGAGGCGGCAGCCAATTGAAGAAGAACCCAGAAGCTACTGGAGCATGGAGTTAATTGGAAGCGCCTGCCCTACTTGAGGATGAGGAAGATTTGCCTCTGGAGACCTCAATGAAGATGCCTTAGCAGATGATTTAGTTGCTTCAGGGCTGCGCAGGGGTGATTTAACAGGTGATGCTTTGGAAGACGAGACCATCTTACCCTTTTGAACCCCGGAACTTTGACCATTTTGAGATCGTCCATTGGGCATTAGCCTTCCTAATTGTCGGTCAAGCTTTTGAGATGAAGATGACTTTTGCAGTTGTAGGTTTGATTGGTTTTGCTTCGATGATGAGCTGCTCCGTTTAAATACTAAGGGCTCATCATCCTCGTCCATATCATCCATCAATTTTGGTTTGGTACAAGCCTCAACATCCATTATTTTGCTATTTCCTGTGTTGTGAGGACTGGGATGTGGGAGGAGGAGCTGGGGGTAGACTTGGTGGAGGAGCAGGAGGTGGTGGAGGCAGCGGTGGATGTTTAGGTGGTGGTGCAGGTGGTGTAATGTTAGTTTAGGTGGTGGACTTGGTGGAGGCAGCGGTGGATGCCAGTTAGTTGCTGCGGTAATGGATCCAAACATCACTACAATCAGTCCTGTGAACAAGCTACATCCTCGAGATGATGTATTGGCATCTGGTAGTTCAAGGTATGTATGTAGGAAGAGGTCAAATTAATATCCTTAATGATATAGTGTTTCTTTGATTNGGTGGTGGACTTGGTGGAGGCAGCGGTGGATGCCAGTTAGTTGCTGCGGTAATGGATCCAAACAGCACTACAATCAGTCCTATGAACAAGCTACATCCTCATGATGATGTTTTGGCATCTGGTAGTTCAAGATCAATTTTCATATGGATGCCCAAGGAGAAGTTTGAGTCTGAACTACAAGGGGATGAAAATAGGATTATTCTTTGCGGAAAGGGTGAAAAGAAACGTAGACAGTCTGATGATGAAAGTGATGATTCAATATATAGATCCAAGGGTAAGAGTTTGAAGACCAAAAAATCTAGTTTAAAATCATCTTCACATGGCAGAGAGAAAATGTTAATATATATTGGGAATCAAAATCTTTCAGAGTTGCACTTATAGAGTCCCTGATAATTGCAACTGACTTTCTTGAATGGATTGTCACTCAACTATCCCCTGTAAATTTATTAGCAGTGATAAGTTTAGTAGGAGAGTACTTTGCCTAAATGGCTACCTCCTGACACTTGAAGGATGCTTAACATATAATGACAGTTATTTTGTTGCAATAATGTAGTCTGTTAGTTGTAATGAAGGTTGGAAGA